ATCTTTAAAAAAAAAAAAAAAAAAAAAAAAGTGAGAGACCATTTAGAGCATTTTTTTCTCCCAAAGTTTATTCTGCTCAAGAATCACTGGGAATGCTAGTGAAAAATACAGATTTCTTGGCTTTTGAGGCAGAACCTCTAGAACTTACATTCTGACCAAAAACCTAGGTTATTCCAACAAATGTGATCTGTGGCCATGTTTTAGAAGACTTTGATTTAGAATGTGGGTTGCAACGGTTGTTAATCCTGTCTACACATTGAAATCATCTGAGAACTGGAAAAAAAAATTATGCCCAAGCTCATCCTATACCAAGCGAATCAGAATTTTGGGGGATGGGGCTTGGACATCCTAAGTAATTCAGGGTTGAAGACAACCAAGGTAAATAAGCTCCTGGATACCACTTCAGTACCACCATTATTAAATGTCATTGTCACTACAGTAACCTTGCTTTTGCTCTTCACGTTTTAAGTAAAACCTTTCTTCTTCTCTATACTTCTAGTGCTTCCATGTTGAACATCTCTGGGACTTGACTTCATGAGTGTGTTGCATGTTGGCATCCAAAACCCTCACAGCCACTTTCCTTGAGCCTTTGATTTGCTTTCTAAGCAGATAGTATGTTAGCTTCTAAGTTGTTCCCTCTTCCTAACATCCATTTTCCTAGCAGACAGAGGAGATAGGGAGAAAAACAAAACAAAACACACAGCATTACACTGTTCTTTCCAAATTAGGAGTTCTCTGAGTGATAACTTCTCTATCATTCATTCTCTTCACGACAAGAATTCAACATTTGATTCCTGTAAAATTCTGGCTTCCTACAGTTTCTAAACCATCACACCTGTTTGACAAAGTTTTGTTTTTCTCTTGTCTTACATAGATTTATTTTCTTTTTGAATTATATATACTGTGTGTGTATAATTGTGGTAAAATATACATAGTATAAATTATCATTTTAACTATTTTTAGACCATTTTGGTTCAGTGACATTAGGTATATTCATGTTGTTTGCAACCATCACCATCATCTATCTCCAGAACTTTTCATTATCCCAGTCTGAAACTCTGTACCTATTAAACCATAACTCTCCATTCTCCCAGCCCCTGGTAATTAACCACATTCCACTTTCTCTCTCTATGGATTTGACTATTCTAGGTACCTTATATAAGTAGAACCATACAATATTGGTCCCTTTGTATCTGGCTTATTTTACTTAGCATAATGTTTTCGAGGCTCATCTATGTTGTAGCATGTATCAGAATTTCATTTGTTTTTTAAGGCTAAATAATATTTTGTATGTATATACCACTTTTTAAAATTCATTCATCTGTCAATGAATATTTGGGTTGTTTCCAGTTTTTGGCTATTGTGCATAATGCTGGTATGAACATTGGTGTAGAAATATCTGTTCAATACATATATTTTTACAGAATCACTTTACCCATGGTTTCTTCAAGCTATGAAGCATTGTTATTAGAATATAAATCTTAATTGTGACCTAATTTAATCTTTGTTGGGTAGGGGCAAATAGTATTTCATTCCTTTTTCTTTTTGTGTTCTCTCTCCTTTGCTATTTTCTGTTGTCACCATAGAATTTCTGACTCCTTGTTGTTAAATTGTCTAAGTCACTAAAATCTCTATGACTCAATTCTCAGTCCTCTTCTTCCTCGACCTACTAGCTGCACTTGAGACAGTTGATCAGTCCCATCTCCTTAGAAAACTTTCTTTACTGTGACTTGCAGAATATCTCACTATTTTGGTTTTTCTCCTACCTCACTGCCTATTCCCTCTAAATCTGCTTTGCCCACACCTCCTCATGTCCCCAGTTTCTAGACAGTGGAGTACCCCCAGGGCTCAGTACTCACCCTTTTCTTTATCTGCTTCAGTCTCATGGATTTAAATACTATTTATACACTGATGACTCCTAAGTTTATATCTGCAGACCAGACTTCTCCTTTGAACTCCAAACTCTTACAACTTGCTTGGATATCTCATAGGCATTGCAAATTTTAACCTGTCCAAAACTGAGCTCCTGTTCCTTTCCTTACCACCCCCCACCGTCAAACCTGCTCTTCCTGAAGTCTTCCCCTTTTGGAGAATGTGCATTCTGCTCAGACACCTCCAGTGGCTTCTCATCTCACTCAGGATCAAAGGCAAAGTAGTACAATAGTCTACATGACCCTACACTGATGCCGTTCAGTGTGATCACGGACTCACATTGGGCTGCGAGTGCTGTATCCAAGCTGTGAGGAGAGAAGTGCAGAAACATAGAGTAGGGCCTAGAAACTTTTATAGCAGTTAGAGTGATTTTATCTACTGAATTTAATAATAAGAAGTTGGAGATTATATTTTGGGTGTCTTTTTTAAATTTCCTGTTTTTAGTAATTGACTTTTGTTGTATTTTTTTTTTTAATAGCTCTCAGTGGATTAGAATTTTTGTTTTAAAAAGTCCTTTACCAAAGACAGATTGGGATGCATGCCTTTAATGACGTGCCCCACCGTCACGCTGCTCTGGCTGTGACCTCATCTCCCGCCACTCGCTCCCACCCACTTTGCTGTTCTTCCAACACTCTAGTCACGCTCCCCCTCCGTCTTCTTTCTCCAGGTATCCATTTGGCTTATTTTCCCACTACCTTCAGTGAGGAACCCTTATTATTTTAATTGGCTTAATTGTCTCTCTCTCAAGCCCAGAAAAATACCTGGTGCTCGGTAAATAATTGTTAAATATTTGAACTATGAGGTGAAATTGGATGAATGTAGGCATGGAAATTGTATAGAGGAAAGGAAATATCTTGGAGAAACTCTGAAAGCTTGAGGTACATACTCTCAAAAATGGGAAAGGTAGGAGTCAGCATTTTCAAGTCATTTGGGATGCCTATTTTTTCTATTGTAGGGAGGAGGGTTTGCCCAATCTTATTCCATTGTTGTTAGAGCTTGAGCTTTGAACACATGAAGGTTTATTACTCTTTGTTCTATTCCTTATTTCTAGGCTCTTCCCCGATTTAATCAGAAGGGAGAAGTATATAAGGCACAGATAATGAACGTGAGCTGGTCAGCTGATCACAGAATTATTGATGGTGCCACAATGTCACGCTTCTCTAATTTGTGGAAATCCTACTTAGAAAACCCAGCTTTTATGCTACTAGATCTGAAATGAAGATTGTTAAGATGTTCTTGAACTTCTTGAGCTTCCAAAGAGTATGTAAAGCTTACCTGTGCCAGCACATATTTATCTTTACAATTTGTATTATAAATTATTTGTATTATATGATTAAGGTTGTAGGGGCTGGCTGGCTAGCTCAGTTGGTTACAGCGTGGTGTTATAACACTAAGGTCAAGGGTTTGGATTCCCATGTGTTCAGCTGTCTCCCCCCACTAAGGCACAATATTTATTACTGTTCCATTAGACTTTTTACTGAAACTGAATAATGGTGTATTTGTTCTCCTGGAGCTGACACATTTTATAGGTCAGAATATGACTTCTTAATACCTGTGTGGTGCTGAGGTCTGTGTGTCAATGGATTGAAACTGGTAAGAACTACAAAATTAATGTTACTAAAAGACAGCCATATACATACAGTATTTGCCCTGTTTCTTTTTTTAAACTGACTCTTAATGAAATTTTTTAATTATACTTAACTGGGAAAAGGAATTTACATATAAAAATATTTTCCATTTCCCCATAATCATGCTAATTGTTGTATAAAATAAGTGCAATTATACTTACCTGTTAAGATATCCAGGGCTGGCTGGTTAGCTCTGTTGGTTAGAGCTTGGTGCTGATAACCCCAAGGTCCAGGATTTGATTACTGTACAGGCCAGCCACCAAAAAAGAAAAAAAAAAAAATCCAGGAGTATATTCTTGCTCCATGTAGAGATTATCATCTGTAAATGTCTTATTTGTGTAAATTAACATCTTTTAAAAGGGAAAATTATAACCAGATCTTAAAAATGCCCAATTGCAGTTTTATAACCAGTAAGGCTATTTAAGGTGTTTGTTGAAAATGGATATACTTTTAGAATTTTGGTAATGGTTCGGTGTCTTGTTGGGAAAAACTTCACCTTTACAAACTTGCTTCGTGTAAGGAAGGTGTTTTCTTTTTTTTAATTTTAATTTATCAATATACAGTGTAGTTGATTTTCATGTCCGTTTACCAATATCTCCTTTTCCTCCCTCCCTCTCCCCCCACTTCTCCCCATCAACATCATATCTGTTCATTTATCTTAACAGGTTCAAGGAATTATTGTGATTGTTATGTGGAAGGCATTTTCAATGTAGGAGCCACTGACCTTTTTTTTTTAATATTCAGAAGTCCACTGCCTTTTAAATTTCTTCAGCTAAAATAGTAGGATAAGAAATTAAGGTCTATTTTATTCACCATATCCTGAGTAGGAAGATGAATAAGAGGGAAGAGTTTAATGGGTAATTATGGACATAAAATAAATTTTATACAGAAATGGAGGTTTCATAATGATCATTTTGTTAAAGTTCCACTTTAACCAGAAATAGCATCAATAAATATAATCCAACATTTTGATTTACATTTAGAAATCCAGGTCATTTTTAATATTGTCCAGTTGAATTCTGTGTGTCAAAATTAGTTGTTCAAATGAAGTTTTGTGACAGAAAAAAGGTTTTTCTATGTGTACTTGATTTTTTTCAGTGTAAAAAATTGTCATAAAATAAATCAAATAAATGCTGTTTTAAAAATTCAGATAATACAGGGAGTTATAAAGAAAATAAAATATCACCCCATAAGTATGTATAATGTTTCAATAAAAAAATTTAAAAACAAAAAAATATCTATAATCCTCCCCACTGTTTTTTTTTTTTTCCTTTTTGTCTTTTTTCATGACCGGCAACAGATCGCAACCCTCAGTGTCGCGCCCGCACCTCGCTCAGCCAGTGAGCGGCCGGTCTGTACGTGGGATCCGAACCCTCGGTGGGAGCGCCACCGCGCTCCCAAGCGGTGCACTGTAGCAGTGCGCCACCAGGCCGGCCCCTCCCCACTGTTAACATTTAGATATATGTACCTGTATACATTGCTAATGTTTTGTGAAAATGGAATCATAGTATACCTATTATTTTATAATTTGATTATTTTTTAATGTTGTATTATGGGTAACTACATGTCAATAAACAATTCCACATTGTCATGCTTTTGAACGACTGCATAATATACTATTGTATGTATTTATGATACATTACAATATTAAACATCTACTGTATACCAAGCATGGTTCTAAGCAAAGGGCACACGATGCCTACCTTCCTGAATCCTGCCCTCATTTGGTTTATAGTCTAGTGGAGGAGACAGATATTTATAAATAACTTAAAAAAAAAAAACTACCAGTGGTGGCCAGGATTTCAGGGGATGAGAGAGAGCGGGAGGGATGAATAGGTGAAGCACAGAGGATTTTTAGGGCAGCAAAACTATTCCATGTGATACCATAATGGTTAATACATGACATTATGCACTAGGCAGAACCCATAGAACTACAATACAAAGAGGGAACCCAAATATAAAATTAAGTTAATAATATATCAATATTGATTCATAATTGTGACAATTGTAACACTAATGTAACATGTCAGTGATAGGAGAAACTGTATATGGGTGGGGGAGGGTATGGGAACCATCTGTACTTACTGTTCAATTTCTCCATAAAACTAAAACTGCTATAAAAATAAAAACAAAACAAAAATAATTACTATTCTAAGAAAAAGAAAACAGGAGTTATGAGCCATATAGCAGAGTATATCCCATAATTTACTAATTATGAAGATGGATATATCCCATAATTTAACTAATTCCCTATTGATAGTCATTTGCTGAATTTTAAATGAAGAATGACATGATCAGTAAAAATTTCCCTCTTACTTACAGAATGTGAACACCAGGAGAAGCTCTAAGATAACTGGAAAAAAATAAAAATAAAAAAGGAAAAAAAAAATAAAGTAAAAGAGGGTCCTGAAGCAAGCAAAATACGCTTATACCCTGAAGGTCCAACATCAGTGGGTCAAGATGTTCTCTACATTGCCAAAATAACCCTGGGGCTGTCTGTTGTATCCCAACCCACTGTCTACCATCTTCTCTTTAGTCTCCTCCATTGAAAATTCAGCAAAAGATTTGTTCCTGGCTGTGTGCAGGACCTTTGGAATAGCAGGATTCCCTAGAGGAGACCAGAGGTCCAGGAGCACTGCCCTAGCAGCAGTGCTGGCTCAAGGGCTCCACACATCACAGGGTGCGGTAGGAGTTGGGGTGAGTGGAACAAGGCTCTTGCTGTATTCCTAGAGGTTGAAATTAAAGTGGAGAAGCCAGAAAATTCAAGTTCTTTACTAATATATCTGGAGGTTAGAAGTATGTGTATGTGGAGAAGAAGCCCAAATTATTGCTGGGAGTGGCCAAGAAGAAAATCAAGGCTTTGTTCATTATATAGAGTGTTCCTCTGACATTTGAAAAAGAAGCACAATAGGGAAGGAAGTTTGAAGAACGAAGCCCAAATTATTGCTGGGAGTGGCCAAGAAGAAAATCAAGGCTTTGTTCATTATATAGAGCGTTCCTCTGACATTTGAAAAAGAAGCACAATAGGGAAGGAAGTTTGAAGAACGGAAGCCAGAATTGGTATGAACTTCCATTTTAGAGATCAAAATGTATCTTATGTTGAGACATATCCAGGAAGTGGTTATGTAGGAAGAAAGTGAAAGTGATAGTTTTTTTTTGTTCAGAAAGCCCAATGGCTTGTTCGGGCCTTTCTCATGACTTTCCACTCAAAGTGGGTCTCAAAAGTCACTTGATGGACTGAGGAAGAGATGGTGGAGCTCAGCACTGCCCTACAATACCAGGAGTACAAAACTTCCCTTGAAATCTTCAAAGACGTATAACATATACCCTGCAACTGATTAATTAGTTCATTCTGCACATATGAGGGTACTTCAAAAAGTTCATGAAAAAACAGAATTAAAAGATAATGTGAGGCTGGCCCGTGGCTCACTTGGGAGAGTGCGGTGCTGATAACACAAAGGCCACGGGTTCGGATCCCGTATAGGGATGGCCGGTTCGCTCACTGGCTGAGCGTGGTGCTGACAACACCAAGCCAAGGGTTGAGATCCCCTTACTGGACATCTTTAAAAAAAAAAAAAGATAATGTGAATTCTTTCATGAACTTTTTGAAGACCCTTCGTATTTATTGAGTATGTGTTCAGTTCCGGCCTCTGGGATAGAGACTGTGGATAAAGGAGAAGATAGATGTTTCTGCCCGCACAGCGAGAGCTTTGGCTGGTGATTAAAGCCTTCACTGGAAGTGGGTCTGTACCAATACCTGGAGAAGAGCAGTGCTTTTAGAGTTGAATTATACTTCCAGTCAATTTTTAATGGTTTTTCTCCTTCCTTGTACACATCTTTTCTTACTGAGATTAAATCATTTGTCTTTCCTTAACTCTAGCCTCATAACTCCTACCTCACAAACCACACACCTAATATTAGGATAGACTCTATTCTTAGGCCACACAAACCCAAGCCACTCAAATTCTTTAACAGGACGTGGCTCAGGTATTGCTTTTCATGGGGCAAGCAACATAGGCGACATGTATGTGACCCCAGACCATTCAGGGAGCAGCGTGGGAGGGCTGCACCATCTGAGCACTATACTTTGAGAACTCACCGAAGAGAGTTCTAATTAAAGTACCGGCTCTGCGTCATCCAGCCTATATGCTCTCCACATGGTGGTGGTGAAGGGAAAATTGAGTAAAATTTAGGCAATAATTGTAATGGTGCTTCAATATTCCCTAGTTGTCTGATCTTAAGATTGTTGCATGTTAATTTACTCAGTTTTAGTGTTCTGCACTTTCACCGGCATATTAATTATGACAGAAGAAAAAAAGTAAGTTAAATCTTCAAACCTAATTTTATGGCCAAACAGAACATTAACAGAACCCCATGGCTTACTATAGGGATATTTATCAAGAGAAAAAGAAGATATATATTTGAATTTACTCGACATATTCCACGAGATATCTGGGTCATCAGATTAGTGTCCAACAAATCCCAAATCTTATCTTATCAGACTAGGCCCCAAACCGGCCAGCTGCCAAAAAAAAAAAAAAAGAATTTAGGTTTGATATGGGGAAAAGCTGGGACAGTCAAGGAAACAGGTCCACGCTCAGATAGGGCTGAGCAGGGGGCAGAGTCTTTTCCATCAGGCAGCACGAGTGCACCCATCCATCTACACCACCAGAGAAGCAGTCGGACTGTGTTAAACTTAGGAAAAGCTATTTAACTTGAAGTTTGCTGCAAGAAAACTTCACAGTAGTTTTTTGGGTTCTTTTGTCTTTTTCGTGACCGGTAAGAGGATCGCAACCCTTGGCTTGGTGTCGTCTGCACCGCACTCAGCCAGTGAGCGCACCGGCCATTCCTATATAGGATCTGAACCAGCAGTGGGAGCGTCACTGTGCTCCCAGCGCCGCACTCTCCCGCGTGCGCCACGGGGTTGGCCCTACAGTAGTTCTAAAAATGTGGTAAAAAGCAAATCCAGGTCCAACCCTGTGGCTCACTCGGGAGAGTGCAGAGCTGGGAGCGCCGAAGCCCCGGGTTCGGATCCTATATAGGGATGGCCGGTGCGCTCACTGGCTGAGCGCGGTCCGGACGACACCAAGCCAAGGGTTGTGATCCCCTTACGTGTCACAAAAAATAAAAATAAAAAAAAGCAAATCCCAAAACGCCAAAATTATAAAGTCTGTAGAGAAGTTGCAAGAGTATAGTCAGCTGTAAAAA